GCGGGGGAATCACTGTTGTCCAAATTGTCTTGGGATCCCAATCTGTCGACAATCCTGCGCAAAAAAATCGTTGTCACATTCAGGAAACATGAATCAAAATCCTTCTCGGTTAGAGGAACACTGCCTCAACCAAGAGCATCCTGCAAAAGCCACACACATGATCAGAACATTAGTTGCTGGGCTTATAGGCAATTCAGGACGCTTCGCTCACCACGGCTTGATTCTTAGTGTTCGATGGGCCACGATCCCCTGCCGCGCGGGAGCGCGGCAGGGGCGGCGCTGGAGGCGCAGCCAGGGGGACTCAGCTCCGAGCCAAGAATCTGCGCAGACCTTTGAAAAATAATGCTTGTGCAGTGATTTATCGCTCTTCGATGTCTTACTGTCCCGAACCATGCTCCACCCCGCCTCGATCTCAGCCCCTCCTGCACAGCGCCGTGTCCCTCTTCCCCCATCCCTGCCCCCACTTCCACAGACCTCCGACGTCGTGACCCCTTCCTACAACACGGGGCCACTCGACCACTCAACTTTCTCTGGGGGACCGGCCTTTCACTCCGAGTCGTTTCTGACAGCCCAGGGGACCCCAAAACAAGCCTACTCTGGAAACCAGAAGCGGCGAAAAGCCTGCCGTGTCAACAGGATCGAGCCGCCCGATTGGTGAGAGCCCAGGCCGCACGAGACCAGGACACTCGTCACGAGTCCTGTCGTGGCGGACGACGGGGGGAAGGAACAGGGGGTCTGACGATCCTGCCGCACGCAACTGCGTTTCCTGGCGCCGGGGAGCGCCAGAGGCGGCCGTGCACGTCGCAGGGAGTGCCCAACGGCGGGACCAAGCCCGTGACATGCAGCAGATACCAACCAGCATCGAGCTTACCCCGATCCCCGAGATCGTCAAGCCCGAGGCGATGACATTCTTGGGGATCTAGCCCGAGAAAGTACTTGAGATCGGCACCGAGATCAAGGCGTGCCAATCACACGGATAGGGCTATGTTTCAGGCTGGTAAGACACCCCCCCCTCCGCACCGCCTCCCTCTCTCTCGGAAGAAGGCGAATTGAGACGACGGCATTTCAAAATCGGTCCCCGGACCCCTCCCTCCCCGAATCCAAGATCACCAGTTTTCCGAGCTGCGTCCAGCCGTGGCGACGAGAGGTCCTCCCGAAGGCCAACTATGTACCGCTGTCTCTGCTCGCCATCCTCTGACGTTCGTCCTCCCCAACCCTCTGTGTCGGGGGGTCGGGCTTGGGGACCTGGAACAGCGAGAGGCTTTGCGATAGAGCGTCGGCGACGCGTCTTTCGGGCACGCGTTAACCTGGGTCAGCACAAGCCTGGGTCAGCCAAGACTCTGTCGACAAGTCCAACCAACCGCTTTTGAGTAGCTCTGAAACCCGGGCCATCGGAGGGCGCACTTCCTCACCATCAGCCTCAGCAGCGCCATCGCATCACCGCCATTGTCGTCGTGGTCAATCGCCACCACTGCCGCCATCATTAGTCAATCACATTCATCACCGACACGTGGGCGTCCTCATCGCCATCGTCGTCACCAGCATCGCCATCAACGAAAATCGCTCAGCATCCAGGATGAATCGCCAATGCATCGGCGATACATCGGCGACGTGGGCAACACGTCGGCGACGTCGACGTGCGTCTACTAGGAAAAAATCAATCGGGTTACACATCAAGCCGTGTCGCCGATGTATCGGGGAGGCGGCGCGATACTCCGACCCTACCTGCTCGGAGCCCATATAAGGGCCTGAACTGCCGTCGCCATCCTCTGTCGGGCGTCGCGGCAGGAGGGCCTAGGAACGGCACGAGGTTTTGCCGATAGTAAGGGAAAATCGATAGCCTCTGAAATCCAGCGGCTCTGGAAGATGCCTCGGGCGCCGCGGCCTTTTCAAGGCGCCCCGGAACGCTGAGAGCGTTCCGGAACGCTCTGGGACGGACCGACCTTCGTCCTGGCCCCGCCCGCTGTCGGGGCTCCGGAACGGCATGAGGCTCTGCCGATAGAGTGTCGGCAGCGCGTCCTGCGCGGCGGCGGCGGCGTTCTGGCGGCCCCCGGCAGCCGCCCGACGCAGCTGGCGCGCCCGTCGGGCCAGGCAGCGCCCGGCGGCGGCGCCGCTGGCGGCCTGCCAGGCGGTTGCCGCGACACTCATGCCTGGGCGTACGCTCGCGCGCGGTGGCGGCGGCGTCGTGGCCGCCAGCAGTCGCAACCCCTTCCCTTGCTCCTTCCCTTCTACTTCCCCACCCACCTTTTTTCTACTCATCCCTCTCTTCCTCCTCGTCCTCCTCATCCCTCCTCCTCCTCCTCCTCCTCCTCCTCCTCCTCCTTCTCCTCTTCCTCCTCGTGAAAATATGGCTGGAACTTTCCCACGAGAAAGCACGATCAGTTTACCCAAACGTCGGCGGGCCGAGCTCCGTACCGTAAGATGCCCGACTGCTGAACGCTATGATTTGCTATGATTTGCCCCCCTTGTCGTAACGCTATGATTTGCCGTAACGCTATGATTTGCTAGCGTATCATTCTCACCTTGTCGTAACGCTGTGATTTGCCCCCCTTCGGCTGCCAAGCCGAATTAAGAGACTTGGGTGATACACGAACAACAAAGCGGCAGGATGACGGGTGCGCGAAACCAGTGGGCACCGCAGCAAGTCAAACAAAAACAACACATTGAGATCAGAACTGGTGCACGCAGCGGGAGAGTAACCCCCGAAAGCCTGTAAGACCCCCCCCGGGGTTATCAGCATCATCATCATCAGCATCAGCATCATCATCATCATCATCATCATCATCAGCATCATCATCATCATCATCATCATCATCAGCATCATCATCAGCATCATCATCTTCATCATCATCGTCCTCCTCCTCCTCCTCCTCCCCCTCCTCCTCCTCCTTTTCCTCCTCCTCCTCTTGTTCCTCCTCCTCCTCCTCTTGTTCCTCCTCCTCCTCCTCTTGTTCCTCCTCCTTTTCCTCCTTTTCCTCCTCCTCCTCCTCCTTTTCCTCGGATCTCGGATCTCGGAGCCGCGGACTGTTCTGGCTCGTCGGGGGCCTGGGGCCCTCGACCCCCCCAGGCGCCGCAGGACTTTCGCGGACAAGAGGGGGGGGGGGGGGGGGGGGGGCCCCAAAACCGCGGGCCGCTTGCGGCCGCCCGATTCGGCGGTGGACAGACCTCCCCTTCGTAAACCACCCCTTAGTGAAAACGGCTCGGACCGAAACCGACGTACCTGGACCCGCAAACATAGCGGCCGCGACGCCCTCTCGCGAACCGAAAACGGCCAATTCACGAATCGACGCGTCAGGGTAGGAGGTCTATCAGCCTCCGGCTGATGATTCAGGGGGGCGCGGAGGGAGACCGACCAGAGGGCGACGCGAGGGGGAAGCAGCAAGATGACAGAAGGGAGGGGCCGAAAGATGCAGCGCGCCCCCCACCGAGCGCCCAGGACCCTTAAGGAGCGCCTCCAGGCTGCCCAAGAGGGCCCCCAGACGGCCCAAGAAGCCTCCAAGACGCCACACTTGGCCTTCAAGAGGCCTCCCAAAAGGGCCCCAAGAGGCAAACGTCATTGCTTTTCCTTTGGTGTTTGAAGGTTTTTGAAGTACTCGCGCTTTCGGCGTCCCGACGCTCCGAGACAGCCCAAGGGCCCCCACGATCGCCCCAAGAGGCCCCCGAGACGTTCCCATGACAGCCCAAGAGGGCCCCTAGACGCTCCAAAAGGCTTCCAAGACGGCCCAAGAGACCTAGAGGCCTATGACCCACAACCCAGGCACTGTGGCGGGATGGGCCGAAGGACATTAGATGTGTGAAATGAAATGCTAGAAAACAACATTGGCCCGACACTTCTGGTCGTCCCCATGGCGCCCAACAGCACCTCTGTCAACTGGCGCCATCAGACGCTAGTGGGCGCTAGTTGAGCGCCCATGAATGCTATGTGGCGCTGCTGATCGCCTCTGGGCTCTGGGCACCATCACTACAACAATCTACGCAGGACGAGCGGCACCTTCCGTGATTTAACATTGAAAGCATACCGATACCGCAACTCCCTGGACCTCTTCCAGGGTGCGCTCCGACCAGCGCTCCAAGGAAGAAATGCGCCGCGGCGACGAAAGGCCCCCTGGGAGGCCCACAGGCGAGGACCAGGGAAGGGCACCGGTATCTCCATGGGAGACTGCATGCGGGCGGCGAACAGAAGAGGGGCCGTGCGAATGACAGCGCAGCGACCTTAGGCCGCAGCTTAGGCGGGCCACCAGCGCGGCACGCTACGCTGGAGACGACGGCGCCTACGCGCGACCTTACGCGGGCACCTTCCGCGCCGACGTCGATGAAGGCGACTCCGTTTTTTGGCGTCGCCCGGAGAAAGGATCTCTAGGGCAGCCGCCTGTGCTCCTCATCAGGCAGTGGCGGAAAGAAATCGACAGCGACTCCGGAGAGCTTAGGATGCAATCTTTTCTGGAGGCGGGGGAGGAGGGGAAACCCGTGGAAGCCCAGGATGCATCAACGATGCTACTAGACTATACACACTCCCTTCCCGAATTACCTTCTCACGCGTCATCACAGAACTGCACACGCACTTGACAAAGCGCCCCCCTGGAATGACGGCCGCCTGTTGGGCCAGCCACTTAGGCGATACCCTGTTCGTAGAGGATCCACCCACCATTCAACCTGAAGGCAACGCAGAAGGGGTTGGACAATAAAGTTGAAGGAAATGTCCAGCAATGGCACGGTTTCGGCAATGATCTGCCCACCATCCATGCAAGTGCTGCACATGGTGAAATTCTGGGTCGTACAACTCGCGGAAATCTACATTCTACAACGAATGCAATCAATACCTTGAAACAGAGCCGCCCGTCAATCCGTGACTGTTACGCAATTTGACACTTCGGTTTATGGAATTCGAAAAGAACTCTCAAACGAGAGCCGCATTTTGAAAACGAACCAACTTCCATCTGTCCCCGGAAACGGCCAATCCGCATTTTTCTCAATTTTCCGAATCAAAAACTCTTGGAGCAAAAAAACGGGGACCGGAAACGGCAACAAAAACGGCTCCGGGATTGAAACAAGAGCCGGAGACGGATAAACAACGGCCACGGAGCCAGCAAACAAACGGCGACGGAACCGACCAAAAACAAACAATTAACCTGTAACAAAAACGGCCCTGTCGTTTCCAGGGCCCATTGATTCTCCATCCTTGTAGAAACGTTAACAAACAATGTGGGCTACGCTAAAGCGAGAGCCGCATCTTTTAAACCACTGACGCTGTATCGATTTAGTCTAGTTGCAAGCGGTGGAAACGCATGTGCACGGCGTCCAGGCGACTGATTGACTATACTTTGTGAGGATGCCTCGAGCGAAACGCCCAGCCAGGCCTACGGACAAGTATGGTGACGCGACACGGAGGCGACAAAAAAGGGGGGCCGAGGAGGAGGAGGAGGAGGAAGAGGAAGAGGATGATGTAGGATGATGGAGTAGGGTAGAATGGTAGCGGAGGATGAGACAGGAGCGAGGAGGTGAAGGAGGGCGATGAAAATCCTGGATGGAAGACTCAGAATCCCTACGATTTTTTCACAACGTGACCCCTTCCCCGCGACGGGCCCTTCGTCCCGAGTCGTTCTTTGACGGCCCAAGGGCCCGGCGAGGGCCCCCCATGCCGAAAACTGACAAAAACCTCACGTCGCGATCCTGTCCATGACGTCAGAACATGGAAAAGTTGTGACATCGTGAAAAAGTACGACGGGACCATCTTTCTGCCGCATCTCTCGAGCCGGATCGATCCGTGATGGCCCCAAACCTGGGGCCCGAAACAGAGTGAAAACGCCCGGCGTGCAAGCCCAAGCTGGGCGAATCAGCTGACGTAGCTATCCCGGCGCCTCCCGGCGCCGGAGGCGGCCATGTATCGAGGAAAGGGCCCCTCTGTGGGGCCGAAACCATCTGCATGCAGCAGATTTCGTACCCCCCCCTTCTCGGCGGTGGACACACCTCCCTTTACTTTAGTAAACCTCCCCTTAATGAAAACGGCCTGGGACTGAAACCGACGGGCCTGGGCCCGCAAAAATGACGGCCGCGACGCCCTCTCGCGAACCGAAAACGGCCAATTCCTCCATCGACGCGTCAAGGTGGGAGGTCTGTCCACCCCCTCCCTTCCCCTATCCCCCCCCCCCTCTCTTCCGGCCCGACACGCCTGTGCCACGCCAGGTTTGCAACTCTGGGCCTCCAAGGGGCCTGGCGAGAGCCCCCGGGGGCGGGAAAAACTGGGATATGGACATACCCCCCTTTAGTAAAACGTGGTTTAGTGAGAACGACCTGAGGCCCAAACCTGGCGGGCGCAAGCCTGGAAAATAACGGCCACGGCGCCACCTCGAGAACCGAAAACGGACAATTCACTAATCGACGTGTCACTGTTGGGGGTTCTGTCCGCCCCCGACAAAAGACCTCCGCCCGTCGCGCTCGTTGCCACCGCGCGGCGCGAGGACGTGCACGAAGACCTATGGAGCACGCAGGGTCAGGATCCGCCGGCACCGAGTCTGGAAATCGAATGGGATCGGGCTGTGCGTCGGATTGGGCTGCATCGGCACCGAGTCGGGATCGGATCGGATCGGACGCGCCGGGATGCACCAACGCCACCGCGCAGGCATCGGGCCGCACCGAAACATCGAATGCCGACCTCGGATCGGATCTGCTCGGGCCGGTCCAGATCGGAATCGGAGCGGGATCGGATCGATCGGATCGAAATGGACCCATCAGGATGGAGGACGCCGGCCGCACTGATGAGTTTCGCGGATTTCGAGCGCGACATTTCGATCGAGAAGGCTCCACGGTTGAGCGCAACACACAAACGACAAACCAACGTTTCGATAACGCGCTCTCGAACACGCTGGCTTTTTCCAGCAACTTGCACCACGATGAGGCGCGATGCAATATCTGTGGAGCTCGGAGCAGCCAGGGAAAACTGCCGAAAAAAATCCTCCCGTCGCGAATGTTTTTCTCGACGATGCGAGGACGTAGGGGTCCTAGTAGATGGGGTCGCAAGATCGCGCCGCATGGCCGATGCATCGCCGATCTATTCGTGACGCATCGGCGACGTCTGCGATGCATCGGCATGCTCCACGTCGAGGCGCATCGGCGATGCGGCGCGATCCTCCGACCCCAACTGCTCGGACCCCCTCTGGGATCGGCGGTGGACAAACCTCCTTTTAGTAAACCTCCCTTTAGTAAAAACGGCCTGGGACCGAAACCAGCGGACCTGGACCCGCAAAAATGACGGCCGCGACGCCCTCTCGCGAACCGAAAACGGCCAATTCGCGAATCGACGCGTCAGGGTAGGAGATCTGTCAACCCCCGATGGGAGGCCTCGAGCCAGGAGAGGAACCCCCAGTGAACGCTGGGCGGAGAGGAGCGCGGGGCGGCAGAGGGGGCGGGCGGCAGGCCTGGAGGCGCCGCCGCGACGCGCGCGGCCCGCCGCGGGCGGGGCGGGCGAGCCTCGCGGGCGTCTGGCGGCGTCGCCGCCGCCATCGTCGCGGGCCACCGGGGCCGAGGAGACGGTCGCTCGGCTCCCCCCAAGCAGAAAGCCTGGGGAGGTCCCAGCTGTGAGCAACGCTGGTGCGAATATCGTATCAGGAGGAGCTCCCTCCCGGGCCGCGCAGCGCGTGAGGGGTGTGTGCCTCAACGGTGGCGACGCCCACATGCGGACCCTGCCGCTGGGGCCCCGGTGGAGTTCCCTAAACAAGAATCCCGACCCTGACATCCCAACCCGAACTCAACCACCGAACGCCCCGAACCGAGCACCCTGACCCGGCCACCCGTGTCCTAACACCCAAGCCTGAACACCATAACTCCAAAACGCTAAAACCCGAACGCCCCATCCGAGCACCCGAGCACGTGTACTTGGAGGCCCTTCGCAAGGCCTCGGAAGTACACGTGTGCGGCCTATCTGGGCCTTCGTGAGGGTCCTCTTGGGCTCTGGGGGTCCTTCTGAACAATTCTCCAGCCCTCTTGCACCGTTCTGTGACCCCTTCTGGGCTGTGTTGCAAAGCGTTGGCGCCTTGGGGCTCTACCAAGAGGCCCCCTTTGGGGGCCTTGTGGGGCCCTGTGGAACCCTATTGGGCCATGTTCGGACCCTTTTGGGCGGTCTTGGGGCTCTCTGGGGACGTCTGGGGACCCTCTTGGGCCGTCTAGAGGCGTTTGTTTGGGCCTCTTGGGCCGTCTTGCTGTGCTTCTTGGGCGATTTCACAAAACTTCTAGAAAATCACTGTGCCTCCTGAGTCCTTCTCGGGGCCCCTCCTGGGAGCCCCTTCGGGGCGCCTGGGGAAGCCTGGCGATCCATTTTGAAGCCGTATTGGGCCGCCTCGGGCCCTCTTGGGCGCTCTTTCGTTCTTGAGACGGTCTTGGGCCGTTCCAATGGTCCGTGGGACCGTCCGGGAAACGATCTTGGGCCCACTAGGGCGGCGGAAGGGCACAGGGCCGACTGGCGATAATCGCACCCGTGGGATCGGAAGGTTCGGGCCCGCAGGGACGCTCAACGATTTGCCTGGCAGGTCCCATGTATGGGGTTGCCTGGAGCTCTGACGGGGCCTCTGGCGGTACCTTCTTGGCGCTCCGGCGAGGCCTGTCAGGAGGTGAGGGAGGGGCACGACACCTCAGAAATTGTATAGTACTCGCTCGGGCGGGTCCGCCCTGCAAACGTACTCTCTTGGCGCTCCGGTGAGGCCTGTCAGGAGGTTAGGGAGGGGCACGAAACCTCAGAAATTGCATAGTACTCGCTCAGGCGGGTCCGCCCTGCAAAGGTGGGAGGGCAAGAATGGCGTGAAATAGTATGGTGCAGGGATGCCCTGCTCTCTGGCGGGGGGGTCCCTGGCGCTCTGGCGGGGCTTGCCTGGGAGGGGAGGGGGGAGCACGAAACCCAAGGAAAATCTTGGAATAACCACACCCCGTGCGCTCTGACGGGGCTACCTCGGGCGCGGTGGGAGGAGCAAGACAGAACAGGGACTGCATATGGTATAGCAACACCCCTCTCGTTTTGCTGGGGCCACCCTTGAAGGGTGGGAGGGGCAAAGCAACTTGTGAAATCATAGGGTACAGCGATGCCCCGCTCGTCCTGGCGGGGCCTGCCTGGCGCGCCGTCGGGGCCGTCCCAGGGAGAGGAGGGAGGCACACGAAAGCTGAGAGGGGGGGAGGGAAGGAGGAGGAGAGAGGAGGGAATGGAGGCAAGGGGAGGGGGCGGGAGGGAAAGAAGCACGGAGGGTGGAGGCCCGGGCCAGCTGGGCCGCCCTAGGGCGCCCTGGGGCCTCCTGCTCCCGCTCTGTGGCCCAGCTTGGACCGCCCGATGGGAGCCGACCCGGCCCTCTGGGGGCGGAGGAAGCCGATCGCGGCACCCCCGTGCGCCCCTCCCTGCCCTGCTCCCCGCAAGAGGCCGACCGCGGCATCCGTCCGCCCCCTCCCCCCCGCCCCTACGAGGGGGATCGTCATCTGGCCATCGCTCAGACGTCCATTCCCTGTGTTTTTTTCGGTTTGGTGCGTGGTTTTTTCGCCAAATGATCAAGGATGCTCCTCGATGGTCCTCGCCGAAGGAAAAATACACACGTCCGAGCGAGGTCAGGTCATGGGGGGGACTGGCTCAGGGGGGGGGGTCGTCGGCGTGGGATCGGCGACGCATCGTCGCTGGATCGGCGACAGGCCCCCGATGGCGAAGCCACACGGTCCCGGGCGGGGCGGGCTATCGGGCCCCCGTCGGCGATCAATGAGCGGGTGGGGGTCGATGCGCCCCTCCTGAGCCTACTCCCCCAGAACGTTGCCCATGACCCCTCCTCCCGCCTTGGCGCACCCGAAACGCGCGGGCGACGCTCAGCAGCAAGCGGTGTCACAAAGAGGCGGTGGCCGCTGTCTGGTGAGCGCTGTTTTCTCAAGCGCTGCCAACGCCCGCGGCGGCACCGACGGCCAAACCTGCTCAAAATGGGCAGGGGCAACCGTTGGTCTTCACCTTGGGCGCTTCCGTCTACCTTTCGATCGCAGCGACCTCCGTCCTCATCCTCCGATGCCGCGGATTCTGCGGGCGCGGGGGAGAGAAGGGCCCCGCAGACAGGAGGGCCCGACGGAGACGGGCCCTGGGCCCCCCCAGGGGCCTTCCCTGGGGGCCAGCCTCTCGCCCCGAGGCGTCCTTTGACCATCTCAAGGGTACGGGGAAGGTCCCGGGCCTCCGACCAGCAGCGACCAAAGCCTGCGCGGGACTCGTTCGCTCCAGGGCCCGAGCTAAGCAATGCGCTCCGTGTTCGGTCCGTGTTCGTCGTCCCTCGCTCCGTCTTCGTTCAGCCCCTGCTGCAGAACGAACTCAAACGGAGAACGGCCCACGACATCGCCAACACACCGCTTAGCTCGAGCCCTGCTTTGATCCAGGACCTCTTCCCTTCACGGCGGCCCCTGCCCCCATGTCACGATCGGGCCGGGGAACTGTCTGGGGGTGCGCCCTGGCCGGAATTGCAAGGCCCATCCAGCCATGGCGACGAGAAGCCGCCCGGACTGGACCCCACGGTTAGATCGAGCCACGGTGCTCGGTTGCACGACGTTGTCCCAGTGCTCTTTCGCACCGCGTGCTGGTGCTGCTCTGGCGCGACTCGGCGGCGTTCTCCTTGGCCTCGCCGTGTCCCCCAGAGCCGATGAGACGTCTGACGAGTCTCGACGAGTCAATTTGGCGTCCCTGCCTCGAGATGCATGGCGGGGGCATGCCCACCAAGCGAGCACGAGGAATGGTTCGGCCCAGGGTCGAAGGGCGGCCGACTTGGGAGAAAGTGCTGGAAGGGGGAACCGCTCGCGAAACTTTCGCCAGCACTGGCCCCAGCTCCGGAAACACTCCCCTGCTGGTTCCCAACACGTGTGCCCGAAGCCTTCCCGCAGCTCCATCGCAAACCGTCCTGGTATTGGGAACGCGCAGGAAAGCGCTTCCGGGAGAAATGATCAGAACCCCACCCCCAAACGACGACCATCGAATGGCGAAGAGATGTCGACACCGAGGCATCCGCCTATCTCTCTGTTCCAAGCCGCCGCTCTGGACCTTCCGACCGCTTCCTCCTCAGTAGTCTGAAAGGGGCCCCAGGACACACACATAAATACACACAAACAAAAAGAATCCCCACATTTTCCCATACTTTCGGGGTTTCTGTCTCCCCCCCCACTTCCCATATTAATCGAATTTTCCCATATTTTCCCCCCCACTTCCCATATCCTCCCCCCCACTTCCCATATTTTCCCATATTTTCTGGGGGATCGGCGATTCATTGTGTCTGTGTGTTTTTCCCCCTCCTGACAGGAGCGGCCACCGAAGGCAGAGATCGAGGAACACACCGCCGGTGGCGCAGGGCAGGAGAGGCACAGGAGGCACTGCAGGAATACAAACTCTGTCGGAGGCCTGGGAATGTTTGTTTGTTTTTTTTTGCAATCCTTCCTTTTTGCAATCCTTGTTTTTTTTTTTTGAAATCCGGGTTTTTTTTGCAATCCTTCGTTCAAGGGGGTGCCTCCACAGGGGGGAGGCGACCCTAGATTCTCGGCGTTGGTGGTGATAGTTCGGCCACCCTGGAAGCCAGAATAGGACCGCCGTCGCCGAGATCGGGATCGTCTTCCCTCGGTGGAGGCAAACCGCCGAAATTGGTGTTGGTGTCAATCTCTAGGCCTGCGACTCTGGACCGTCCGCGCGGATTTCTAGGCTGGCGCAGGGACCGTGCCAGGGGCGGCGCCGGATCAGCCGCCAGGAGGATCCAGCGCGGATCCAAGGGATCCGGAACGTCGACCTGGAATCGGCTATACATCGCCGCTGGAACGGCGATAGGCCGCTGGTAGCAAAACCACGCGTGTCGTCGCGTCCCCCCCTGAGCCTACCCCCGTCCCTAATGGTTTTCTGGTCGTCATAACTCGGGCCTGCGGCATCCGTTCGGGACGATCCGGGTACCCCTGGGGCGCTCTCGGCGAGGTGCAGCCGCTAGAAGGCTTCCCGAGGCCGGGAAAACGCACAAAAACCGACGAACATACCATATCTCGTGCAGATATAAACCCCGGGGGGGCTAGGCTACCCTAGGGCCTAAGACCCTAGGCTTGCCTAGGAAGGCCCCAGGCCTGCCTTCGGTAGGGCCTACTGAACGCCCTAGGTTTGCCTATGTTAGGGCCTAGACCAGGCCATGGACTTGCCGAGGGTAGGGCCTATTGAAGGCCCTGGCATAGGGGAAGTTCTAGGGTAGCCCTAGGGGTAGGCCCCAGGGGTAGGCCCTAGGGGTTGCCCTAGGCCCTAGGGTAGCTCTAGGGGTAGGCCCTAGGGGTAGCCCTAGGGTAGCCTTAGGGGTAGGCCCTAGGGCTAGCCCTAGGGTAACTCTAGGGGTAGGCCCTAGGGGTAGCTCAGGCCCGGGGAACTCCTCCTCCGTTCCCTCCTTCAGCCCAACGCTAAACCGCCTCCTCCTCCTCCTCCTCCTCCTTTCCCTCCCCCTCCTCCTCCTCCTCCTCCTCCTCCTCCCCTTCCCCCTCTGCCAACCCGA